GGCTGTGGGCCGGATCCCCAGTGGGGGGCGGGCGAGAGGCAACCACACGTGGAGTTTCTCGTCCTTTCTCCCTCCCTCCTCTTCTCTATAAATAAATAAATTAAATTAATCACATTCTGGTTCCAATGGTACAGGAAAAACATCTTTTATTTCAATTTTTAATCCGATTTATTTATATATAAAACCAATGATCGTATTCCACGGTATTAAGAGCATACGGAAATCGTTCTTGCTTTCTGGAGTTACACTTGCAGTGCACCAGCATAAACAAAAGGATTAAAAATGTTTATATGGATACAGACTGAGTGCTACACATGTGTAATGTGCATCTGTGTTGTCCCCTTGAAACTTTGAGGGAAAAGTGTACATCACATGCCCAAACTACAATGATTTCGACGGGGAGGAATTCGGGGCGCAGCCAAGGTCGGGCGGGCCTGGTAGAGGGTCCACATTTCTCCTTTGGGGTTCTGGAGGGAACAGGCTCGGAGGCAGGAGCCTGCCATCCTTCCAAAACTGTCTAGTTTTTATATCTTAAATCGTGTTTAGTTTGTACACTCACCCTATAGAAAGAAGATCCCTACAGAAGCTATCAGGGAGCAGCGAGGAGAGCTCAGGTGGTGGAGTTCAGCCAAAATTGACAGGCTTCAGGGATCAAAGCAGTAAATCCTGAGGATTAAGGATCTGCTTTTCAATTAAGTCTCCGTTCCTCTTCCTGGCCGGTGGGGCTCCGCGGCCTGAGCGCCGGCCTGCAAACCAGAGGGTCACGGGTTTGAGTCCCAGTCGGGGCACGTGCCCGGGTTGCAGGCCAGGTCCCCAGCAGGGGCGCATGACAGGTAATCACACATACATGTTTCTCTTCCTCTTTCTCCCTGCCTTCCCCTCTCTCTAAAAATTAATAAAATGAAGCACATTTTGGCCCCAAGCGTTCAGGGAAAACATCTTTCGGTTTCATTTTTTAATTCAATGTTTTCTTTATACATGAAATGAATTGTCCTACTCCAGGGTGTTATTCTGCAGATGGACATCGTTATTGCTTTCTAGAGTTACACATTGATTACACAAGCATAAATAGAACATTCAAAATCATTGATCCTTAGGACACTGAGGTGCATCCTTACTTTCCCTCAACATTAAGGGGAACAGTGGACATTATATACAGCGAAATACAGTGTTTTCGATGGGAAGGAACTCGGGGTGCAGCCTAGTGCCTGCTGGGCCTGAAAGAGGGATCACATTTACTCTCTGGGGGTTCCAGAGGGAACAGGGTCTGAGGCAGAAGCCTGCCATCCTTCCAAAACTGTCTAGTTTTTATATCTTAAATCGTGTTTAGTTTGTACACTCACCCTATAGAAAGAAGACCCCTGCAGAAGCTATCAGGGAGCAGCGAGGAGAGCTCAGGTGGTGGAGTTCAGCCTTAACTGACAGGCTTCAGTGATCAAAGCTGGGACTTGTTAGGCTTAAGGATCTGCTTTTCAATGAGGCTCCTTTCTGTTCTCGGGCTGGTGGGGCGCAGCGGACTGAGCGCCGGCCTGCAGACCAAAAGGTCACCGATTTGATTCCTGCCTGGGTTATGAGCCAGGTCTCCAGCTGGGGTCGGCCGAAAGGCAACCGCACGTGGATGTTTCTCTCCCTTGCCTTCTCCCTCTCTTTTCCTCTCTCCAAAAACTAAATAAAAATCAATCATATTCTTGGCCCAAACCCCCAGGAGAAACAGCTTTCTTTTAATTTTAAATCCAATGTTTTGTTTATATATAAAACCAATCATCATATTCCAGGGTATTATTTTGCAGATGCACATCATTAGTGCTTTCTAGAGCTGCACTTCCAACCCATAAGTATAAGTAAAACAATTAAAATCATTTACTTGACCACAGAATTAGTACTATCCATGTATAGGTGCACCCTTCTTTTACCCTCAATATTTGGGGAAATATGTGCACATTATATATGGCAGAATACAGTGTTTTTGATGGGAATGATCTCGGAGCACAGCCTAGGGTCGGGCGGGCCCAGAAGGGGGTCCACATACATTCTTTCGGGTTCTAGATGGAACAAGGTCAAAGGCAGAAGCCTGCCATCCTTCCAAACTTGTCCCGTTTTTCTCCCTCCCGCTCTGTGCGTGCACACTCACCCTATGGAAAGAAAATAACCAGACAAGCTAACAGAGAGCAGCGAGCAGAGCTCAGGTGCCGGAGTTCAGCCTTAACTGACAGGCTTCAGTGATCAAAGCTGGGACTTGTTAGGCTTAAGGATCTGCTTTCAATGAGGCTCCTTTTCCTTCCGTGCCTGGCAGGGCGCAGTGGACTGAGTGCCGGCCTGCAAACCAAAGGGTCCCCGGTTTGATGCCCAGCCGGGGCACAGGCCTGGGTTGTGGGCAGGTCCCCAGTCGGGGGCGGGCGAGAAGCAACCACACAGGGATGGTTCTCTTCCTTTCTCCCTCCCTCCTCTTCTCAATAAATAAATAAATAAATAAATAAAACCGATCACGTTTTAGGCCCAAACTTACAGGGAAATACATCTCTCATTTCAATTTCTAATCCAGTTCTAATTCTAATATAAAGCCAATTATTGTATTCCAGGGTATAATTTTGCAAAGGGAAATCGTCCTTGTTTTCTAGAGTTCTACTTTCAATGCGTCAGTATAAATAAAAGCATTAAAAATGTTATATAGATACGGAATGGGTGCTAGGCATATATAACGTGCACCCTTGTTTTTCCCTTAAAACTTCGGGGGAAAGGTGTACATTATATATAGCAAAATACAATGATTTGGATGGGAGGGAATTTGGGGCACAGCCCGGCATCGGGCGGGCCTGGTAGAGGGTCCACATTTATTCTTCAGGGGTTCTAGAAGGACCAGGCTCTCAGGCAGAAGCCTGCCATCCTTCCAAAACTGTCTAGTTTGTGCATATTATGTTGTTTTAGTTTGTACACTAACCCCATAGAAAGAAGGTAACCATAGAAACCAACAGGGAGCAGCTAGGAGAGCTCAGGTGATAGAGTTTAGCCTTAATTGCGGTCAATTAAGGCTTGAGTGATCAAAGCTGGGACTCATTAGGCTTAAGGGTCTGCTTTTCAGTGAAGGCTCCTTTCCTTTCCTGGGCTGGTGGGGCTCAGTGGACGCAATGCTGACCCTCAAACCAGAGGGTCACCGGTTCGATTCCCAGTCGGGGCACCTGCCTGGGTTGCAGGCCAGGTCCCCATTAGGGGCGCTCGAGAGTCAACCACACAGGGATGTTTCTGTTCCTTTCTCCCTTCCTCCCCCTCTCTATAAATAAATAAATAAAATCGCATTTGGGCCTAAACTTTAATTTTAAATCCAATGTTTTATTGACATATAAAACCGATTATCGTATTCCTGGGTACTATTTCAGAGACATACATTATTTCTTTCTAGAGTTACACTTGCATTAATAAAGCAATTAAAGTCATTTACGTGGACACGGAATTAGCGCTACCCATATATAAGGCGCACCCTTATTTTTCCCACAATATTTGGGCTAAAACGTGTGCATTATACATTGCAAAATATGCTGTTTTTGATGGAAAGGAACTCGGGGCACAGCCTAGGGTCGGGCGGGCCTGGGAGGGGACCCACATTTGTTCTTGGGGGGTTCTACAAGGAGCAGGCTCTCAGGCAGAAGCCTGCCGTCCTTCCAAAATTGTCTCGTTTTTGCAAATTATGATGTTTTAGTTTGCACACTAACCCTATAGAAAGAACATCCCTACAGAAGCCAACAGGGAGCAGCGAGGAGAGCTCAGATGTTAAAGTTTAGCCTTAATTGACCGGCTTGAGTGATCAAAGCTGGGACTCGTTAGGCTTAAGGGTCTGCTCTTCAATGAGGACTCCTTTCCCTTCCTGGGCTGGTGGGGCTCAGTGGACGCAATGCTGACCCTCAAACCAGAGGGTCACCGGTTCGATTCCCAGTCGGGGCACCTGCCTGGGTTGCAGGCCAGGTCCCCATTAGGGGCGCTCGAGAGTCAACCATACAGGGATGTTTCTGTTCCTTTCTCCCTTCCTCCCCCTCTCTATAAATAAATAAAATTGCATTTGGGCCCAAACTTTAATTTTAAATCCAATGTTTTATTGACATATAAAACCGATTATCGTATTCCTGGGTACTAGTTTGCAAACATACATCATTATTGCTTTTGAAAGTTACACTTTCAGTGCCTAACCATAAATAAAACAACTAAAATCATGTACTTGGACATGGAATGAGTGCTACCCATGTATAAGGCACATTGTTATTTTTCCCTCAAAATTTTTGGGGAGAAGGGTGCATTATATATGGCTAAACACAGTGTTTTCGATGGGAAGGAACTCGGGGCACAGCCTAGGGTCAGGCCGTCCTGGAAGAGGGTCCACATTTATTCTTGGGGGTTCCGGAGGGAACAGGCTCTGAGACAGAAGCCTCCCATCTTCCAAAATTGTCTAGTTGGTGCATATGATGTTGTTTTTAGTTGGCACACTCATCCTGTGGGAAAAAAATCCCTACAGAAACTAACAGGGAGCAGCGAGGTGAGCTCAGGTGGTGGAGTTCAGCCTTAATTGACTGGCTTCAGGGATCAAAGCTGGGACTTGTTAGGCTTACGGGTCTGCTTTTCAGGGAACGCTGCTCTCCCTCCCCGAGCTGCTGGGGCGCAGTGGACCGAGCGCCGGCCTGCAAACCAACGGGTCGCCGGTTCCATCCCCAAGCAGGGCTCACGGGTGGGTTGACGGCCTGGTCTCCATTTGCACGCGTGTAAGAGGCAATCAAGTGATGCCTGTCTTGGACATGGATGTTTCTCTCCATCTCTTTCTCCTTCCTGGCATCCCTTGGGAATTTTAGAAATTCCCTCTCTAGAAAGTTAATAAATAAAATCTTTTTTAAAGGGAAGTCTCGTGTCCTTTATCACCCAATCGTTGCCTCTGGAACTTTTGCCTCTCAGGCGGCCGCCGGCACCAGGACCCCACTCCACGCTGGTCTGTGACCATAGGGGGACCCCAGGGAGGCCCCTCAATACCTGACAATGCCCAGGAAGCCCTCCACCCCGTAGAGAGTCACCATCTCTCCGTTGTTGAAAGCGCTCTACGGAAAAACCCACCACCGTGAATTTTCATGATGTGCTGTCCGGTGTCAGACATACCGGTGTGGTTCCCTCGGCCACCGCGAATGCCGCCATGAACACCCCCGGGCGCCGGCCAGGCCGGACTACCCCGTGCCAAGACGCCCTCCCGGAACTCGCGGCGGCGGGCAGGGACGTGCCGGTGGCAGGCAACGGATGTGCTGCAGAAGGCAGCTTACCGTGCGGGCGTGGAAACACCAGGGCGATAACAGGCAAAACCAGAAAACTCGCGAAGGAGAGAACACAGAGATGGCACCCTGCCGGATCGGTCTGCTGCCAACCCCATGCGCGGCGGTGGGGGGTCCGCCAGGGACCTGTTCCCCGGGGCAACGAAGGGGTGAGCCGGCAGCCGCACGGGACACCAGGGCCGACCCGCAGCGGCGCCACCTGCTCGGGAAGCCTCATCCGGCGGCCGACGTAAGAAGGCGGCCGGGGGCCCCATCAAAGGGAAGCCGCGGCGGATGAGGACCCGGGCGGCCAGGCCTGCCCTTCATCAAAGGTCGCGAGTCCGGGGCCCCGCCGACCCCTGCCGGCCTCGCCGACACTCCTGGCTCACAGACGCCCAATTACACACACACGACCTTCCTCCGCCCTTTCATCTCCCCAGGGAATGGTCAGCAAATGTCACGGCCTTTGGTTCAAAAGGCCCAGGACGTGGCCTCTGTGGATACCGGGCGGGGCGTGTGGGGGGCCGGCCCACCCCTAGAATGTCCCACGAAAGGGTGACCGGAGAAAGCACACGCTGGCAAGCGCGGCTCCCCGCGCATCCTCCTCTCCGCAGCCTGAAGCCCGTGACACGGGGCAGAGTGTCCAGAACTTGCCAGCCACGGAATCTCTAGCCACGGACACGTTCTGCAAGAGCAGCCGTGCGGCGTGGTGTCCCGTTGCTCTCGCGGGGCCGCCGCGCTGTCCGCGTTGTGCTGAGATCCGCTCGCGTCATCTTGGGCTGCCGGCCGACATTCTGGCGCAGACACTGTGCCTTTCCGCCGCCGCCGGTCGCCAAACACTCAGGGAACAGGGAACACTCTGGAAGGCGGCAGCGCCCAGGAGCAGCCTTGAGAAAGGCCCACTCCCACGGGAAGGCCGCACACGCTTCTCACACACCGGCTTAATGCACCCACCGTTTCAACAGACACACGAGACACAACCACCCGCCCGCCCGCCCTGGGCGGAGAATTCCGCTTCTTTCCCAGCACGGCTTCCCTCTCTGGCTCTCGCAGTCCTTCCCTCGGCGTCTTCCTATTTTATTGTATTTTATAGTTTGTTATCTGTTCCACAGAATGTTTCCAGCTACGCACCTACCTTGTTTCTACCTGGTGGGCAGACTTTACACCTCACGCGGGTTCCTCGTTTCCCCTCCAGGAGGCGCTAAAACTCCAGGAGGAAGGACACGTTCCGGAAGGAACGGCGTGGGCCAGGGGGCGGCTGTTTGGACGGAAAAAGGCCGGCACGTGTGCGGGGTGCCCGGCCCCCAGCGAGCTCCGCACGGTCTCCCCCGCACGTCCATAATTTCTAGACAGAGCACGTCCTTGTAAACACAAGGGCGTATAGCAGGTGCTCTAAAGAGCGGTCGCCGGGCGTGGGTGTGGTGGGCCACCCCGCGTTCAGGTGACACTCAAAACGATACGTTGCGGAGAGAGCTTTGGATCGCGCGATGGGAAAGGAGGTGCTGCCCCGGAGCGTCGCCGCGGGAGGCAGGCCCGCGCAGCGACCCGCGGTGTGATTGCAGAAACGGGTTTTTCCGGCTCAAACCCCGCCTCGTGCACGGCCGGTCAGTAAAATAGCTCGAAAACGCCCAGGCTGTCAACAGCAAAGACCCGGGGCGCAGTCACTGAATTCTTTATTTCTTCCCATACCTTCGGGTGTTTTCCACAGTGAGGATTTTTGCTTCGGCTTTCTGGACCCACCCGTGTTATTTTAGAGAAATCCTCCCCTCCCCCCGTACAGACACGATTCCGGCACAAATCGGGAGCAGCTTGCTGAGGGATGTGAGGACCCAGCGCTTTGCGAGGCGCACCTGCCGCGGCCCACGGAAGCGGGCAGACAGGGGCGGGGAGAGGGGTCCCCTCGGCACAAACACGCAGTTGTCCAAGAGCAAAGAACGCCCCGCGGCTGCACAGCCCCGTATGTGTTTTGGGACACACGGGTCGCCTGTGCTTATGCACGGCTCGCACAGGGAGCAGAAAGGAGACCCACACAACGAGACTATCGCCCACCCTTGCCCTCGGCGGCTGGGCTAACCCGACTCATGACCCACGGACGTGTGAGCGGCCGGTGCACAAAGACAAGAAGCGGAAACCGGGTGCAGTTTGCTCGCGCGACTCTTTCCGGTGACGCCTCCACATTCTGGGGCGGGTCCGTCGGCTCCCACGGCTCTCAGACGGCGCACAGAGACAGATACAACCACGGTTAAGGACACGGATATAGTTCCATCCCCACAGAGACAGACACGCATGGACAAAGACGCACACGCACGGTTGTATAGGAAGACCCGGAGACGAACACAGACAGGCTCGCATCCCTCCGTCACGTATGATCACATAGAAGCAGGCGACAGCAGGCATTTACGTTGTCCATGGGCGGCCACGCGGCTCCAGTCCCCACGCACAGCAGCAGCAAGACGTTACGAGAGTTCCTGACTCAAGCGTGAGCAGAAGGGCAGCCGATTCTCAGCCAACGTCCTGAAACTTCGGCGCCCCCCAGAGTCCCCCCGGACACCTCCTTCCACGACGGTGCCGGGTTAAGATTCAATTCACAGGCACCGAGGCCGAGGACACGCTCCTCTACAGACGTGACGCCCGCAACACGTGGAGGTGTGGCATCCAGCCGTGCGACCTCCTGAACAGGGAGGTGGCGTGTTCTCCATGTTGCTGGCTGCCTCGCCGGGGTCTTGATTCAGGGACCCCTTCTGGTGACAGCCGGGGGTCCCGTCCAGCCGTCGCTACCTCCCTCGACTTTGCTTCCCAGTTCCTGTTTCCGTGACACTTCAAGTTCCACCGTCGGCACCCCCTGCCCCGGGGGGCCCCGCGGGGCCACGTCCCCCTGTGCACGGCGAACACACGTCCCCTCCCACGTTAGGGCGTTGCCGCAACCTCCCGGAGGTGGAACCCGTTGCTCCCCATGGGCCGGTGACCGCGCGGCACCCACCGTGACGGGAAGTGTTCTTGTCACGAGACCAGGGGTCAGCAGGACGGGAGGGACCGGAAAACAGCGGGTGGACCCAGGTCCACGTGGCAGGTTCCCCACACCCTGAGAGACAGAAGCTAAGAAGCTCACCCCGTCCCCATCGGCCCCGGACCCTGTGCTCCCCGGGGGCAGAGACGGCACGATGCCCGAAGACTCCGCTTCCAAAGGGCGCGCGCGCCAGCCAAGCACACAGTGGACTGGGATGAGCAAATACACAGCAAGCGCTGCGGACGGGAGACCCAGGGAAGCGTCGTTGGGGCTAATTGTACATTCTTAGCCTAGACTTTTTTTCAAGGGGGACAGGGCGGCTGCACAAATGTCCCATCACAGGCAAGCAACATATATTTACCGAAAAGCAATGCGTTTCGGGAGAGGCGACGGGTCTACCCGCCGATGGCCAAGACGATGAGGCAACAGCGCCCCCTGCTGTCCATTGACACAACCACATGTTCACACCGGGGCGCATCTGCAGGGATGACCCTTCCTGCAAATGACACCTCTGTCCCCTTGTCCCTCTCCTCGGGGTCCTGACCTGGCCCCCCCCGGGGGACTGGGGCTCCAGGCCTTTGCCTGTCCCTCCAGCTCTGGGTATGCTGGGCGGGTGGGCGTGATCAGTCCCCGCTGGGGGCGCTGGGGGCTTGCGGGCAGGGAACAGGCACGTCGTCCTCTAACACTTGTGAATTTGGGGCAGGGCGGACGAGGCACGTTCCTTGACTGGTTGAGCAGCCACATGAGCGGACGCAACCCGGTCAGGCTGCGCCGCTGACAGGGACGAAGGGACTGGCTGGGACAGACGCGCGGTTACAAGACAGCCCCAGGGACGGGAAGTCCGGCGCCAGAAACAGACTCCCTGATCCCGTCTCCACTGTGGGTGCGGCCAGGCGGGGGCGGCACATACCCGCGGGGTCGCTTTCCAGCGAACACCTGTCCAACCACGATACCATGCGCCCGACGCTCGTAGGCGGTTGCATGTCAAGCGTGATGCCAAAAAAGAGAAATAAAAAAGGACGGAACCGTGGATTTCATGCTACGTTTATTGGGCCACCGGAACAGCCATCCGTTGCCGTTTTCATGCTGAGGAGTGTGCCGTAAGTCCGACAGAGCCAGGCTACTACCGTAGGATCATCGCTTATATGGGAGATTCCCCCCCCTCAAAAAAGCACACACACAAAAAACCCTCACAAAAAAACAAAAAGAAAACTCAGAGATACAGGGACAGATTGGGTTGCCTGAAGGGAGGGCCATGGAGTCTCCACGGGGGAAGCCGGTCCAAAGGTCCACACTTCCAGGTGTAAGATCAGTAGGTGCTGGGGACGTAATTCTGTCTAGCACGTTGCCTACAGTTACGAATCCTGTACTGTGGATTTGAAGGTGGCAGACAGACTAGACCTTAAGAGTTCTCGTCACGAGGAAAAAGAAATTGTAACTTCGTGACATGCGGCATGGGAACTAGGCTCCCGGTGGCGATCAGTCCGCAAGCTACACGCGCATGGAATCGTGACATTGTACACCTACAACTAAGAAAACGATGGCATAACAATGTACGTAAAGCCATGAATATTGGTCTCTGCGTCCGAAAGGCTCCCAGAAGACTCTTCGAATTCAGGTCTGTCAAGAGAAAACATACGTGCAAAGTATTTCGCTCGCACCCCTGGAGTAACTTGAGAAGGAAGGGGGGAGACAAAAGGTTGGGGGGGCCCCCAAACGCGCCCGCGTCCTGCGTCCCGCATGTCGTCGGCGGGAGGCCCCATCACGTGACAAGGACCTTTACAGTGTGGGGTCCTTGGGGGCCGTATATCCCGACGAGATTCGCCATCGGAGGAGGAAGCCCGTGCGCGTTCCTGCCGTGGCAGCCGCTCGGCTTTCCTTCACCGATGCGCCAGGAAAGGGCCCTCAGGGGAGCCCCGTGGCCGGAAACTGCTCTGCCGTCCCAGACATGACGACCGGACGCGACCCCGCGGTGCTCAGCTGCGGCGAGGAGACAGGTTCCTCGCGGGACCCCCAGGACGGACCCAGTGCGGACCCCTGGTTGGCAGAGGCAGGCGTCTGGGATGCGTCAGGGGTGGTCCCAACACATCCCACCACGGGGACGGCCATGTGACCGCCAGGGACAGAGCGGGCAGGGGACAAGGGGGCCATAGCAGGAACAGCAATACCAGAATAATGTCCCCCAGGCGGGCACGTCCTGATCCCTCTGGGGTAGACAGAACACGATTGAATAAAGCAGAGCTCCGTGACATGGAACGAAGTCAAATCAATTTCAGACCAGAACCCCCCCACCCCCCCCCCCGGCAACGTGACAGGCCCATAGAAACCCCACGGCACGGGCCTGAGGACCGAGAAACCCGGCTGAGGCCGTCCGTCTAGAACGCTGCCCGTGAGCCGCCGGCAGGGACAGACGCGCGAGGGCTCGCCTTGCGGGCCAGGATGGCGCCGTACAGGCCCTGGGCCCTCTGGCACCGGACGTCCGAGAAGCCGGCAGCCGCCAGGAGCGTGCGGTACTGGGTGGGGGTCCGCTCCCGGCCCTCGGTCTGCACCAGCATGTTCAGCGAGTACAGCTGCGCGGTCAGAGGTCCCCTCCCGTCTGCGTCCAGGAGCGCTTCGACAATCAGGACGCCACCCCCTGGGACAGGGAGAGGCGGGCCTGAGACAGGGACAGACACGCCTGAGGACTCCCCCCCGCCCACCCGCCTCCTCCTGCCGGTCCCCTTCCCAAGCCCCAGAGCCAGCGCCTGGACACGGCTCGGTTGTCCTCTGCGCACGAGACCCAGAGCGGCAAACACGCAGGGGCGGTCCTCCAGGGCCGCCAGGGTGGCAGGGACTGAGAGGACCGCTGGGACAGGGTCCCCGCCACCCCGGAGCCCGCGCCCACGCCCTCGGGGGCCGTCCGCACGAGCGGCCCTCCCGGAACCGCTGGAACGGCGCTTGTCTCCCGCCGCCTACCCGGCCCGCAGGCCTGATGGATCCGCGCCAGCAGGCGCGAGCACGCCTCGTCGGACCAGTCGTGCAGGACCCTGGCCAGGATGTACAGATCCGCGTCCGGAAGGGGGTCTCGGAAGAAATCTCCTGTGACACAGGGCGGGGTCCCCCGGGTCAGCCTGCGGGCCAGCGCCCGGGGTCTGCACCCACACCCGGCAGGGGAAGGTCACCCGGGGGCACCGAGCGGTCCCGAGGTCTGCCCAGCGGGGGACCCCCAGACTGAGCCCAGAACAACGAGGCGTCTCGGTGACGATGACGCCTTTCTGAGGATGGTTGCGGGCTCTCTCCTTCCGTGAGATCGGCACAAGGGTCTTATTTTTCTCTGGTCTCCTGAACGCCATCAGCCGAGCGCCTCAGGAGGCCGTGGGCTGACACTCAGCAGGGCCCGGGGGATGAGCCGCCCAAAACCGACAGCCTGCACACGCCTTTCGGATCGGAAACAGGGGCCCAGCACAGATCCGTACACGGAGGTGGTGCCCAGCGCTCGGCTGCTATGACCTGTCTTCTGCAAATCAGTATCAGTTTTGGAAGAAATCTGGGGTAGCCCAGCGCCCGCAGGGTTAACTCAGAGGGCGTGTGTGGACGGAAGTCGGCCAAGCCACCGGAATCTGAGAGGATGTGCTGGGTGACGCACGGGCTGTTTCGGGGGTGTCTCCTCAAGAGCCGGACCCCGTGTGTCCGCGGTGAGAGGAGGGTCCGTTCCAGCGGACGGTGGGCCTCCGTTTCCCTTCTGAAACCTCGGATCTTGCATTAAACCCACTCCATTCATTGCCATTTAGGAAAAGGTTTGAATTTAGATGCTGTAGGGGGTTCTGGGCTGTCAGAATAAGTACCACCCTATGGGGGTCCTGCAGACCAGGCGCCTGAGGCCCAGGGGTCCCGGGGAAGCGCCCCCTCCCCAGGCTCCAGGGAGGGCCGTTCCCGCCTCCCCCCGGCGTCCCCGGGCGGGGGGCCGCGTCCCTCCCTCTCTGCCTCCGTCTCCACGGGGCGTCTCCTCCGGGTTTGCATCTCCTCTTCCGTCTCTTCTCAGGACCCTGTCCTTGGACGCAGGGCCCCCCGACCCAGGGCGACCTCCTCTGAGATTGTTCCCTTCATCCCCTCTGCAGAGACCCATTTCAAAACAGGGTCCCGCTCTCCGATGGTGGGTGGACACGGATTTTGCGGAGACACCCCTCAACCCCTACGCTACTCGGGAAAGAATTCATGGGGAGAAAGCAATGTGTCTGCGCTGCCGTTTTCCATGTGCCGTGAGACCCGTGCACGTCGAGGGCAGGGATCTTGAGGACGCCCCCCCACTGGCCTCTCCCCGCCCCCGGGGACGCGTCTGCGTTTCCCCGCGACACCGACGGTCCCTGAAATCCCACCTTCGTGGAAGCCGATGCGTTCTTCCTCCAGGAACAGGAAGTGCTTCCTCGCGGCCTGGACCACGTCTGGGAGGTCGAAAATGGTTACCTGGCAGCCGGCGTACAGAGAGGCGCACTCCTTGGCCAGCGCCCCGGAGCAGCCTGGAAGACGACCGAGACGGGGCGAGGGGCGGAGAGGGACCTGTGAGCGGCCAGCCTGGACCCGAGGGTCTAGGCTGGGGACGGGGTCGTCACAGTTACAACATCCTCTACGCCCGTGGAGGGAGCTGCTCAGAGACTGAGACCCCCAGTCCCACCCGCGTGCCGGGTCGGAGCCCTGAGCCTGCGGCGCCCTGGGCTGAGTTGCCGCGGGTCCCGCGGTCCCCACGGGTCCCCCCGTCTCCACACGTCCGGCCCTCTGTTTAGACCTTGCTCGTGGGCTGCCGGCGGGGCCCCGCGGAGGCCCCCACAGCCTTCGGGGTGTGAAAGAGGGCCTTGCCCGCTGTCCGAAAGGGGGTCTCCGTTCCGCGGCGCCCTGCGGTGCCCCACAGGGCTCAGGCCGGTCCCCGCAGAGCACGCGCCAAGCAGCTGCAGCGCCTGCGCACGTCACTCACCGCCGAGGTCACAGATGCGGCGGAAGGGCGACAGGTCGAAGGCGGCCAGCACGCGCCTCCCGTGCACGCTCCAGACGTCCTGCAGTGCCCGCATGAACTGCAGCCGCTCGCCCTCGGACCTGGCATGCGGCACCACGCGTGTCAACGCCGTGCCGCGCCGCGGTGGCCGCCCTACGCAAGGACGCGGGAGGTCTCCGCCGCGCGCAGAGCTCTGCTCCCCAGCAGGGGTCAGGTCGGCACCGCGGACACGTGCCCGGCGCCGGCAGCGGTGCGCGACCGCACGTCCTTCTGGGGCGCCGCGATGGACACGCACCTCCATCCGAAGGGGGGCTCACACGCTTCCCGACACGGAGATCCAGGCTGCGCCCCCCACCCCACCGGGGAGAGGGCAAGAACTGGTGTACGTTGCAAGTCCACAGGTGCCGGGGCGCAGGCTGCGAACTGGGGGTTCCGCGAGGCGGGCCAGAGGCCGTGGGAGCAGGGGGCGTCTTGGGAGCGGGCGGAGGCGAGGAGGCGGCGAGGAGGACTGGTGCCGGGGAGCTGGGCACGTGTCTCGGTGCGGCGGCTGCTTGGCACCCCCTCCCCCCAGCACTTCCTCCCTCCTCGCCCTCCGTGTGGAGCCAGCCCGTGGGTGTGGTGGCAGGGCAGGAAGAGAGAGAGGAGACCGCAGAGGAAGCACCGCCCGGGCGCGCCGAAGCTGAGAAACCCTATCGCAGCCTGAGAGACCCAACGTGAGTGTCTGTCCCTGTGCCTCTGCAGTGCCCGGCATCTGCCTTCCGTGCATCGACCTGTTATCACCCACCTCCCCACCTCCCGGCGACTCCCAGGGACGCGCGCCCCCGCCCCCCCCCCTGCTGTTTTCCCTCAGGGTCCTGTGCCCGTCAGACAAACACTGGTAATCGCCGGCCACCAACCAACAGCACCATTTCGGGGGTTTTATACAGAGGGCTCTGTGCCCACAGCCACGCGGGCAAACAAAGGAAGCGCTGAGTCACTGCCCTTGCGGGGGAGCCGGTGGCCGAGCCTAGCACCGCGCCTCAGTGTGACCCTCAGGGGCCGTCGCCGGAAGGGAAGGGCAGGCTCTACGCCGCCCTGGGAAAGTGATCTGCGCAAACCTCAGAAAAGCCACATCTGGTTTTGGGTTTTCGTTTTGCATTCAGTGTCAACTTTCGTGTCTTTGTGCTGTGTGGCGACACATTTATTCAGCCCGCTAAGGGGACCCCTTTGGAAAGCACGGGACTGTCTCCCCGCCGCGCTGTACCCTTGAGATTAAGACAACTGTGACTGAAAAAAGTAACGACCACAAAAGGGCGCATCGCCGAGGAAAAGCAGCATGAGGCTATGAGCGGCGGGGCTCGTGGTACCTGTAGATCGCTGTGAACAGCTCGTCCGAGGGAACCCCGAAGGCCGCCGGATACTGGTTCTTCCCGTCTCTGGAATCGGGGAGGACGGCTGTCGGTCGAGTCCCCAGACGCTCCGTGCACATCAGCTGATGTACACAGAGGGCCACGCGCTCTGCTCTGACAGCACACAGATGGCACCGGCAGGGAGCGTGCCAAGTGCCCAAACACACGCCTGCTTTCCTTCCTTTCTGGGGCAAGATTCAGACACGTTCAGAACAGCGGCGTCCGCTGCGAGTGCGCCTCTCCGGTGGGAGCCGAGGAGTGAGATTGAATGGCAATTTAAAGAGAGTATGACAATCACGTGCCATGTAGTGGCACTGAAGTCTAGAATAACTATCACCCAACACCTAAGCATGGGAAGCACCGTGTAGCTAGAGAGCCTGCTGGTCGACCTGCAGCTGGCGGGACAGCTGGTCGACCTGCAGCTGGAGGGCCGGTTGGCTGGTCTATCTTCCTCCTCCTCCTCCCCGGCCACTGGGTGAAGAACGCCTGGGGCATCTGCTCCCACCTTGGACCGCGGCGTCCGTGTGTCCGGGACAACTGTGTCCCTGTGGCTTGTCCCCTTGCAGCGCGGTCCCAGTCCCTGGCACCAGCCCACCTTTCTGTCACAGATCCACTGTTCGGGAGCCCAGGCTTCCTGCCTCAGCGCTGCGTCCTGAATCCCCTCCCTGCTCAGCATCTGCACCTCGCACGGCTCTGCACGGAGACCCTCGCAGCATGTCGACTCCTGCACACCCCGCAGCCAGCCCCAGGGCAGCCCGGGCACAGAATCCACGTCACCCAGGCCATGCCCACCTCACGGCCTGCGCCAGGTGCGCCCAGCACAGGTAGGTCGTCCTGGCCAAGTAGAGCAGCATGTTGCACTGGGACCTGGGGCTGGAGCGGACCAGGTAGGTGCTGGAGAGCTCTGTGTTTCCGTAGAGAGCTGAAAGCGGACAACCACAACGATAAATAAAAAATAAGGCAAGTTCCGAGTCCCTGCTGCATGCTGTCACCGGCGTCGACGAGATCACAGTCTAAGTTTGAGCCTCGCCGGTGAGCGCAGAGACGCCAGCCGCGGGAGGCTCACGCTGAAGCAGCAGGCGGCCACTGCTGGGCGCGGGGTCCTATCCCTGGGGTAGCGATGTCTCCCCCCGTCTTAGAAGAGGGGTGCGCTTGCCCTGGTCACGCCGAGCAAGGCCTCGCCGCTGCACAATCGGTCGCCCCTGCTGAATGGCTGCCGGCGCCTCCCAGGAACCCCAAAGCAGGGCCCAGAGAACGAGCTGGACCAGCCTGTCTGGCGACCTGCCAGCAGAGCATCGGGGAGCCGGCAGGCACCCGCACCGGGAGGACGCGTCTGCAAAGACCGTTCACGGCGCGGCCGCCGCGGTTTCAGCCAGCTTGCACCTGGCACCGGCCTGATTTCCGAGCCCGGCCAGCTGAGAACAGTCACCCCCTGGAGGGCGTCTTTCTGGTCTGGCTGGCGCCTGCCAGCGTGCCCTCCCGCAACCCCAGCAGGGACACGACTCCTTGTTTAAGCAAAAAGCGCACCGCCGGCCACCGCGGCGAACAGCCACCCCCCGCGCCACCGTCCTCCCTTCCTTCTTGGACCACCTCGAGCCCTGGTTTCTAGACCTGGTGAGGTCACAGAGGAACAAAATCCTGAAAAGGAAGGCTCGGGTCTGGGTTAGCCACGTCAAGGTCTGCAAAGTAGGAGCACTGTTTATAAAGCGACCGTCTCATATCCCGAAAGCGAAACGCCGCTTCCACACCCCCAGACCCAGAATATACGCTCGACCTGAAGGGCAAATTCTCAACTGAATAAATGGAGGGTCATTAATGACTTTGTTGGGATTTTTTTTTCCACGTGTTTCTCTTGTGCCCTGGAGGCCAACATGCGCACCTCGAACGGACAGCCGCCAGCTGTCGCCGGAGTGACACACGAGGCCCCCGATCTGTTTTAATGCTTAAAGTCTCGTGGGGAGCCAGCCAGGCCCCCTCGGGGACACAAGGCCCTGGCTGCTTCGATGCTCCGAAGCAGAGATGCCGCAGACACAACAGGGAAAACGCACACTTTCGACTCCTTCAGAGGAAAAGGGTTCTCGGGGCGGACGTTGAACGTGTGTCCTTGAAGGGCGCATCTACCTTTTCCTCCTCCGGCTTCCAGCCGCAGGACCTTCAGGGTCACACAGGTGTCCAGCAGCAGCTCGGTCCCCCGGGAGCTGGTGCCCAGGCGCGTGGCCACGGCCTCCGCGTCCAGGGCCTGAGGGGCCTCGGCGAGAACGTCGAACACGCCCAGCTCGCAGGCAGCGAAGAGAACCTCGGAGAGATGGAAAGGAGGGGCTGGGAGAGAGAGTGGTGCGCCGTGGTCACGGCGCCGCGGTGCTCACCGCGCCGGGAGGCGGAAGCCACGCCCGTGCCCGTGGGAGCCTGAGGGCGCGGTCCGCCGCGAGTGCGACGGGCCTCAGCCGCGAAGGCGCAGAGGGCACTGTGACACCTGCGGCAATGGGCAGGGGCCCGGAGGACAGGTCATGGAATAAGCCGGTCAGCGAAGGCCAGAGCCTGCGCGGTTCCCCTGGTGTGAGGCCCTAGAGCCCCAGGTTCACAGACAGGACGTCGCGGGCGCGCGCGGGCGCTGGGGGGCGGGCGTTTCGGGGGGACGGCGGTTCAGTGAGAGACGAGGAGAAGGTCCTGGAGGGGGAGGAGGCGGTAACAGAGGCGGTGGTTCCGCAACAGTGCGAACGCCATTCGTGCACCCAACTCTACGCCCCGAAGCGGTTACCGTGGTAAATGTTGTGTCTACTTCCCCACAATCAAAAAAGCTTAACGCTGCGCCCACCGTGCACTGAGGGAGCCTCTGCGCCTGCTCTTCCAAGGGCTGGAGACGGAGTGCCGCCTCGGGGTTGACCAGATGTCCGGGGGCCACCCCGTCTGGGGCAGGGATGGGTCCCCAGGGAGGGTGGGGGCCGCGACGTCGGGGGAGCTGTCCCTTTAGACACAAGGTCCAGCAGGGCCATTTCTTGGCCGACTGGCCCGGGAAGAGCAAGAACAGGGGTAGACTGAGTCCGATCTCTCTGTTCTCAGGTTGCATTAAAGTTTATTATGCTTCCCAGACAAGGTCAACTTAAAGGAGTTCATCGTCCCGGAGCCCTTATTAGGCGCCATGTTAAAGGGACGTATCTAAGAAAAAGAAGATCCAAAACTAGGAACAGTAAGAGGACAACCCACACACACCTATCAGCAACGGAACCTAAAACAAAAACAGAAACGAACGAAGCAAACCACAAGAACAGGAACAGAATCACAGAAATGGGGGTCACAGGGAGGGTGATCCCACGGGAGGGGGACAGGTTCAGGGAATAAGAAGCATCATTCGTAGGAACAAAACAGACGGCGGGGGGCGGTGAAGAACAGAATAGAAAATGGAGAAGCCAAAGAACTTACATGTAACTGCCCCTTTGTGCTCCTTAACCCGCTCGCGGTGTCCAGGCCTCTGCCCGGAGGCTGGCTCCCAGCCCCAGACGGTTGGCGTCGCCCCGAAGGAGACCCCGACCCTGGAACGGAGCTCCCACTCCTCCCCACCGACCCTGCCGCCCTCCGGGGGGGCCCAGGGCCCCAGTGCGCCGGCCGCTCTGCCCGGCTCCTACCTGGGACACCATGAAGCCGCGGGCACACTCGTCCAGCAGGCTCAGGGCGGCTGGCTCCCCCGGGGACCCCATGTCTTCCTGCGCCCGGCCTGTGAGGGTCCCGGCTGTCCAGCTGCAGGCGGGCTTCGGGGTGGCAGGCAGCTCTGGCCGCAGCAGGGCCCCCGGGGACACAAGACAGTCACCCCGGAAAATCCCATTAGCCTCGCGGAGGGGATGAGGCGGCTTAAGAGGCCCTGCCGTGCGCACGGCCCGCCGATCCCTCGTGACGTAATCGTTGCACGTTATTCCTTCAGGTTTAACTTAGTCTCTCAATTTCGTCTTTATGGAATCGGAAACATGAGGAAATGAACTCCATCAAAGTCACACCTCGGGGGGCACGAGAGGCGGCCGTCCCGGAACGAAAACACAACCTCGTAGGCGACGCGCGGTCGTGGCCCCCGACGGGCCCCGCCCGAGGATCGTGTCCAGAATCGGCGAGGAATTCATCCCACGTAAAAACCAAAGCCACCACGGACTCGGCCGGAAGTGAACTCAGCGTCCGTTTCTCCGATGAGAACCGGCAGACAGCCCTTAGAGAGTAAAACCCCAGAAACAACTGAATGCGCGACGGACTTCAGTCCCCGTTTACACTAGAAAGTCCCCACAAAGTAGGGAGGACGGGAACACAGCTCAACACTTACGGCTTCATTCCGTCGCTTATTTATTTATTTCTCACTTATTTATTGTAATGATAGAATTTCTCTTTAGTGTCCCTTATGGCTTAAATTGAAAGCTTCCTTCATCCATTCAATTGTTGGGTTTCTAATGAGCTTACTTATTGGAAATTTACTTTCTCAAAGATTTTTTTTTAATTTTAAAAATGTGTGTAATTACGATGAAAGGTGTGTGCTTTCTACATTTCATTTCCTGTCACGCGGACGGGAAGCCGCGTCTCCCAGCGACGTCCGAGCCCCCCCGCCCCGGGGTCCTGACCCCCGACGGGAACACACCCCCATTGTTCCCAGGGCCCCCCGTGGGCTCACAACCCGCGTGGGTTCCGTGGTCAGCTCCGCCCGTCCCTCTGGGGCGTCCGGGCCAGGCCCGCCTCCCTCTGCCCTCGGCGGTGTCCCCAGAGGTCCCCCCGGGCCTCACAGTCGCCAGCCTGCCCCCGCACCCGCGGCCCGGGTCCCTGTCCTGTTTCACGGGGACTGGGGAGCGGGTCGTAACCCAGGCTGTGGGGTGCTTGCAAGTCTGCCTGCGGCGAGCGCATGCACCGGTCCTGGGGGTGCCAGGTACCTGGACGGCCCCCATCGTCACCTCTGTCCCTTCGGCTGCCCCGACGCTGTCCAGGAAGGCTGTGCAGGGCGCGGGTTTATTCCCAAGCCCCCCTCAGCGTCTCTGGACGCCAGCGTCTCTACGACGCCGTTGTTCTACGCAGGGGTGCCCGCGCCGTGGCCCGCACGCCGCGTGCGGCCCGGGACGGCCGTGAACGTGGCCCAACGCAAAACCACAAATCGACTAAAACCACGAGGAGGCTCTGCGTGCGATGACGCGTCACAGTATATTTCATGGGTGGCCCAAGACGGCTCTTCTTCGTCCGGTGTGGCCCAGAGACGCCCCGGGGCATCACCGTTGACGTGCGCGAACGTCGCTGATTCTCTGAGGTCCTTCGGGGCGAACAAGCCGATCGTTGCCATCTGTCTCGCTGTTTCTACGTGCAGAATTAAAATGCGTGCGTGTAATTCCAACGTGGCTTCTCCCTTCCCAGCTGTCCGAGTCAGGGAGAGGAGGAAAGGGATTTGCGGTGGCGTCTACGAAGGACGTTTAATACGCTTACTGTGCCTCTTGTGATTAAGGACACGTTGGATTCGATTTCCGTGAACTCGTTCTTGCTTTTGCTTCTGCCGCCTTTTCCTCGCTCTGGGCCGGCTCCTCCCACCGTTCGGCCCCGCCCGGGAGGGGCCGACCACCTGGCGTTTCTGACACCCAGCTTCCCACACACACGAAGCCCCGAGGGGACAGCCGATTTTCCCCGCGTGGGAGCCCACGAGCAGCTCACCACCCCACGTGTCTGCCCTGCATCTGGGGACGGGTCACTTGTTTGGGGGCGAAGGGCCCGTCCGAAGGGCGAGCCCAACGCCGTCTTGGCCCGAAGTCCGGTCTGCTGGGCGGCCGGCTGGGTGACGAATCCTACAAGGCATCGGGGCAGACAGACGCAGAAGCTGAAGTTAAGAGGATTGGAGGAGCTTTCACGGCGCCTTACGGGGGGGACTCGGTGACCAATGCCACAGGCGGCATTTGCTTGATTAAACTGTAAGCAGCCTTTCTGAAGTCGGCCAGTCCCCCGAGCCGCCGGGTGTCTGCGAAATCTCCCATGAAGGCGATGAGTTTCGTGATGAGATGGGGCCTCAGGAAGGGCGGGGACCACTCCCTAGAGACTGGAGCCCGGCGCACGAGGTCTGCGGTCGGTGTCAGGTGACCGTTTCACAGGCAGAGCCCTTTAAAGACGTTGCTTATTTTTAGGGAGGGGGGACGGAGGGAGAGAAACGTCGCGCAGTTGCCAGGCATCCGCCCTGGCGGGCACCGTGTGCGCCACCTTTCGCTCGGTGGGGCGACGCCCAGCCAACCGAGCCGCGCCCGTCAGGGCGTCCAGGCTGGGTCTTGAGTCGGGGAGCAAGGAAGACGCCACTGGGACAGAAGAGAGGTCGCCGCGCCTGCGTCTAAAACAGACACGGATGCGCACGGACGGGCGTCTGAATCGAGAACAGTTGTTTTTGAACAACTTCGGCCAAACCTGCGATAGCTCCTGGTTTTTTTCCTTAGTTACTCAGAATGAGATCGTTGTCACCCAAACCAGAGGCTCAGGACAAAATACCATAAATAAGAGAAAAAGAGAGGAGTTAGACTTCCATTCTCACCCTGGAAGTCTGAGGGGCCCATGTTTCTTGGGCTGAAACCTACAAATGCTCCAACAAACACGACCTTCATGTTCAGTCCCCTTGCCAAGGAGGCACCTCAGAACTGAGAGAAACGTCACCCCTCATTCATAAATGCCGATCAGGACACGTGTGTCGACGGATTTCCATTCCCACGTGTCAGCCAAGGCTCCCCGTTCATGACGTCTAGAGCAGACGAGAATTTTTAGAACGCGAGTGAGTCGCAATAACATGGAAAAGGCCCCCCAAACTCCTAAAGGTAACAGTGCCCAGATCTGAGAAGGGGGGCCCCAGCGACCAGGATCCCCGACGGAGAGCGTGGGTTCCTCGCGGGGCCCACGCCAGGCGCCGCCTCCCCGCCCCCCGGCAGAGCGGGGGCCTTGCAGGAAACGCGGCGAACCAGGTGCTCGGGCGCCCGCAGCTGCCTGTCCGTGGGTTTCCGCGGTGCCTCCGAGGTGACCGCTCTGCGACAGCAGGTGCCACTGCCGTCCTCCCTCTCCAGCCCCGAACCTGAAGAGGAACGGCGCGCACGCCTCTGGCCGGCACGCCGCTGGGCCTGACGTGCTCGGACGCTGCCTGTGCGCGTCCTGCCGAGCCGACCGCACTGCACGCCAGGGCCCTGTGTCCGTCCCCCCGCGGACCACGGGGACGACGTCCGGGCAAGACGGCCCAAGGGCGAAGAAGGGCGTCGCACAGGAGTAGGGAGGCGGTTCCGCCGCAGGACGCACAACCCTGAACTTGTCCACGCCTCGTAACAGAGTCAAACAACGTAAGGCACAGGCGGAGAGCATTGCAAAGATACGAGGAGCTGGGCCCACTGCGATGGGTGCAGACTGGCCACCCCCTCGGAGGAAGGAACGGGACCGGCAGGTCGCTCCGTTGGGGTGGGCCGCCCGGACAGGTGCCGACAGGGCCGTGGCCGGCACCGCCTGTGGTCCCGGAGGGGGCGCGGGGCAGAGCGCGTTGATCAAGTGCAGGTTCCCGGGGCTCTTCCACGGCGACGGCCGTTCTCGAAGTTTGGAGATGTCCTGGAAGCACGCCACACGCCTCCCGCGCACCCACGCGCTGCTGGCTTCGCCTCCCCCGCCCCCGGGAGCCCAGTGGGCGCGCGCCCCTGGCCGGGAGGCCACGTCTCACCTGCTCTGCGCCTGCGTCTCCAGCCGCTCTTCGGCGGCGCCTCTCCCTGCCAACACCTCCCCGGCCACTTCCTGCCAACCCGCGGACGTGCGGGGTCCGTGCCCGCTGCGCGGGCCTCCACGGGGATCTCCGACCCCACACACACGCCTCCCCTGACCCAGAAGTCCCCCTGAACCCTAGGGAGAACCCCCATGACCTCACAAAACCCCTAACCTCCCCACCTCGCTACCACTTGTCCTTCTAGATCCTGTACTTGCTCCTTCACCATCTCCAAGATCCAGGGGCCCCCCTCTTACCCAGCAGCACATCGGGGGCGTCCCGAGCGACACCTGACCCCAGGACATTCTCCACAGCTCAGTGCGGGGCGGCGGGGACCCTGCCGCGGCGGCACCAGGTTTCCGCGGGGCACTACCAACCGCTGGGCATCAGAGCGCACCTGGCACGCTCACCTCAACCGGTGACAGAGACAGCGCCCTGCCAGGGAAGGGAGGGTGCGCGACGGCCATGCCCAGGTCCCTCGTGACAGTGACACGCGCGAGCGTGGGAGCGGCCCCCGGCCCCCACCCCCCGCCCCCCGCGTGCACAGTGACCCCTGCGGCTCCCGAGGAGCCCTCGCGGTCTGGGGTCCGAGCAGGGGGCCCACGCTGCCCGCTGCCTTGTGCCTGTCACTAAGAAAAGAACCCCTCGTCCTTTATTCCGTTTTTAAAAAGCAGCTCTCCGGGCTTTCCAAGGCTGCTTCAGCGAACCTGCTTCGCGCCGGCGAACAAGCCCGAGACCCCGGGGTTCTCCTCCAGGGGCTGGTCTGCTGGCAGGACCGCGAAAAGCGTCGCTGCCCATCAGCCGTCCTAGGACAAGCCAGCGGTGTCGACCCGCTTCACACACACTAAACTAGGCTTCGCTGGGCAGCGGAGTCCAAAGAACTGAGCACCAAACGGAGCCCAAGGAACTACAACACACGCGAAGTACGCAAAATACCAGTTCATTGGAAAAGGTTTTATTTCACCATAAAAATGCAAACTGGAATAAACACCATGTTTTTCTAACGCAAACATTACAGCTATTTTTAGGTATTTCTGCGCTTCACGTGGGGAAGCAAATCATTATAAAATTTAACAAGTTTGCAGCCTTTAATCTGTTGGAAACATCTTGAATAAAAATAATTTAGCAAAACAGCTTTTTAAAAAAACCACACACGCTAACCTTGACTAGAAACCAAAGCCTGGAACCCATCTTGTCTACGCTCAGCTGCTGGACTCTGTAGAAACTGAACGTGTCTGAAGAGGAGCGTGTGGCCGCCCTGGGCCACACCCTGTGCCCAAGAGCCCGGGAGGCCCGTCCGAGTTCCGGTCCCGCAGGGGTCTCCTCCTCCAGCCACGGCTTCCTCCGTCAAGGTCACTTGGTTCTTCCGGTGTCCCAGCCACGGTGCTTCCCGATCCGTTAAAATTACAAAAAGGAAGAAAAGGAAGAGAAAACAACAAAACCCAAAAACCCCAGCAGAGCAAGGCTCTCCCTTCCTGCCCCGCAGGACCGTGGCGTCCCCAGGCGGACAACGCGTCCCCAGAGCCCGGCCACGCGCCTGCCGACACCAGCGAGGCGGGCTGTCCCCGCGGGGAACCGAGCGCCTGCGCCGCCCTGGTCACGTGGCGGGTCGGCCAGGCCCGCGACCGTCGTTCCAAGAGTTTCTGCTGATTGAGGACTGGCCGCGTGAAAGCTACTGCTCGAGTTTTACAGGAAACTAAGGGCGAGGGACTGAAGGCTCCACAGTGGACCCCGGGGCTGCCGGTCATCGACGCCGGGACTCGGGACACGCTGCGCTCCTCCATGCGGAGGCTCCTGGGACACGCGCTTCGGAGGCAGCTGAAGAGGAGCCAGGACGCCCCGCGGGCCCGCGCCTCCGGGACGGCAGCAGGGCGCGCCCTGCATTACCTGTCCCAGCTGCTGCGGTGCCGGCTGGCGGACCTGGAGCGGGACCTCTGGCTGTGGCGGTGGCGGCTGCGCTTCCTCCCAGAGCTGCCGCCGCGGTCTCGGCTCTTCTCCCTGTGGCCCGCGCGGTCTCTGCTGGGCGACCTCCGTGACCGCGCGTGGGCGGGGCTCGCGCTGCGGCGGGGGGTGTCGCGCTGGCGCGAGTGCTTCTTGTGGGACCGCCGCTCCTTTCGGTGCCTCCGGTCCTCCCGGCTGCCCGCCCGCCGACCCCGGCTCCGCTCCCGCTTGTGTCTGTCCTCGCTGCCCTGGTCCCCGCCGGCCCGGCCCCTGCTCCGGCTGGGCTCCCGGTTGCACTTGTCTTGCTCCGAGTGGGTGTCCTTCCGGGGCGCACTCTGGTCGCAGGCGGGGGGCGCGCCCTTGGGTTGCTGGGTGTTGTCCGGGATGCAGGAGAGAACCGCCGGGCACCGCTTCTCCGGGGAGGCGTCGTCGGGGGCCCCCGGGTGAGACGGCTGCTGGTCCCTGCACGGGCCGTCCTCCGCCGCATTCCCGTTCACGTTGCGGGGAGCGCCCTCCGTCTCGGGCCGCGGCGGGGTCTCCTTCGGGGCGCCGGGGGGCGGCAGGCCCCCGAGGAGGGGCGGGGAGGTGGCGCTCAAACAGCCCGCCGACACGGTCTGCAAGATGTCCAGCACGGGCTGCAGCAGGTCCGCGTGCGCTACGCCCAGCTCGTCGGGCGCCTGGGGGTCGTCCACCTTCTTGCTCAGCAGGATGCTCAGCAGGCGCTGGCGCAGCTGCCGCTCCTTGCGCTGCAGCCCCAGGGCGCGCTCCTTCTCCTCCTCCACGCGCCGCAGTTCCGCCTCCTGCAGCCGCCGCCGCTCCTCCAGCTGCTGCAGCCGCAGCGCCTGCTCCTTCTGCTCCTGCTCCTGCAGCTTCGCGGCCTGCGGGCGAAAGGGCACGGCCTGAGCGGGGCCCGGGCCCGCCGCACGCTCGGGCAGCACGGGGCTCTCGAGGTGCCCCCGGTCCGGGGCGCCGGACCACGGCACGGCGCCCATCCCCGCCACGCCCGGCGGTCATGCGTCCGTCCGAGGGGGGCCACACCCGCGGCGAAGCCACTCGGCACAGCCCCCGGGCGGGCGTTTCGGGGGCCGCCCCGGCCGGGCCCTGCGCGGTCACCGCAACAGGGAGCGGAGGTGACGACGCGAACACAGGCTGCCCGGGACGTGCTGGGCCTAGCCTGGGTCAGTGTCTTCAATATTCACCATGAAACAAGAACTGAGCTGCCACATGTCTCAGCGCGCCTGCCATTGTCCTTCCCGGGGCCTTATCAACACTGTAATTAGACAACAGGTTATGGGGTCGCCCCGTGCCGGACCGCACAGGGCTCGCGGCCGCCTGAGCGCAGGTCCGTCCGCGGCCCCGGGCCCAGCTCGCGGGAGCCACCAGCGAAGCCTCCGGGAGGCACGGGGAGGCTCTCGGGCCTGAGGGGCCGTCCCCTCGGCACCGGGCAAGACCTGCCAGGCCCCGGCGCTGGGGGAGGCACGCAGCCAGCCCGCTCCGTGGCGCGCCCGGGTCTCCCCAAGGACCAGGACCGGCGCTCGTCCTCGTGCCCCGGGCGACCGGCCCACAGACCTGACGGGGCCGGGCCAGCAGGTCCCGGCGGGAGGGGGGCCCCAGGAGCCGGGCGGCCCTCTGCGGTCTCTGCCACCTGACCCTGGCCTCCCCACGGCCGTCCAGCCGGCACCAGGACAATGCCACGCGCTCAAAGCTCTACCAGCTGCCTAAGCCTGAAATCCGGGACGACGCAGGGACCCTGCAAACGCCAGGCGACGGGTCACCCTCCGTGGGACACCAGCACCTCCCGGCTGTGGCTGCAACAGGCCCAGGCAGGGGGCCGGGGCGCGGCCCGAGGGCGGCAGGGGAGGCGCACGTGCGCGCCCGCGCGGGGCCGCCGGCCGGGGTACCTTGGCGCGGCTCAGCAGCTCCGCGATCAGCCGGATGGACTGCAGGTTGCGCTGGGCCAGCAGCAGCTTCCGCTCCTCCAGCCTGATCTTCTCCTGCAGCTTCTTCTGCTCCTCCGCCTGCAGCTTCTCCAGCTTCTTCTGGCTGCGGCGCAGCTCGCGGTCCCGCTGCTTCTGCTCCCGCTTGCGCAGCTTCTCCTCTCGCTTCCGCTCGCGCTCCATTTCTTCCAGCTCCTTCTGCTTCCTGCGCGAACACACGAGACCGTCAGGCGGGCGCCGGGCAGCAGGCCGACGCTCGGCACCGACCAGGCGGGCGGCGCGGAGCGGGGATGGGGAGGCGTTCGCACGAGCCCCCGTTTCTACCCCTCGCCCCTGCCGCTTCCGGGACACCAGGCCGATGCCAGAGCCGCGCCCTGTGGGGACACGGTCCCCACCCTGGGGCTCAGAGTCGCCGCGGGGCTGAGAGGCGGAATGAGACCTGACCGCGCGCAGCCGCGAGGGCACCCGGGGGCAGGTCAAGCACAGAGCATCACCTACGCGCGGCCCCTTTTGTACGCAAGTCTAGAAAAAGCAAACCCCCGATGACTGCCGAGGACGACTGGCTCCCCACGGATTTTGGAGGGACCCCTGGAAGGAGCACCCAAGTGCCACCCGCGGTGACTGAGGCCCCCAGGCTTTGAGGTTATTCGAACAACCGAGACCCAGTGACAAAGGCAGAGGTGCTCCGGGAGGGGCCGGACACGGGGGAGAGCAGAGCGACGCCGCCAGGAGAACCGGGCGTGGGGCGAGGGCGCTGGGGTCCCAGCCGCCCTGGACCGGAAGGAGCCGGGCAGAGCCGCGGGCGCCGAGGCCCCTCGCGGAGCTTCGTACCGCCCCCGCCCCCGGGAGCCCACAGTGGCCGTCACTGCAAACACGTCGCCGTCGAGCCCCAGCTGTCCTGTCCGAGAACACGGCGCTACAGCTGCACCCCGGTCCTCGTTAAACCTGAGCCGCCCACACAGACGCGCTGGCCTGCGACGGAACGGACGCGGAGGCCGCGGCCGAGCAGCAGGGCGAGGGCCCTCGGGGCAGAACGGCGGCCGGGCGTGGGACCCGCCCCGCCCCCGCGGGCGCCACGGGCACAGCCGCCCTCCCGCCACCGCAGGCCCACCCGGCGGCCTGTCCGTCCTCTGCCCCGCGCCCTCAGGCCCACCCCACTGCCCGGCCTCCTTTTTCCTCCCGTAAAGGTCAAGGGAACGGCTTGCTGACCGGCCCCCAGAGCTGCGTCCAGAAAGGCTGGGGAACCCGGGCGACGAGCAGCATGGCCCGCGGGCCACGGTTCTGGGAACGTGCCCACCGCAGACGCAGGCTGGGGACCTGGGCGCGGCTGAGCTCCCTGCCCTGGCTTTCCCCCGTGGCTGCGCCCACGCGCCCGCGTTCCACTCGGCACAGCCCGCCCCGCCACTCCCCACGCCACACCGAGCGCGGCGGCCCAGCCCCAAGCACACCCCTCGCCCCGCACCCTGCTCCGTGCAGCAGTGGGCTGGCTGCAGGGCCCAGCCGGAGGGTGCGCAGGGCCTCTGCCCCCGGACCCAGGCCCTCGGCCTCCCCTGCCGCCCGTCCCGTCCTCCGCGGACCACGGCGAGGGGCCAGGACAACAGCTTCCTCTGCCCACCCCCCGCGCCTGCGCCGAGGCTCCGTGGCGAAGGCGGGAAGCGGCTCGGCACAGACACGTGCTTGTGGCTACGCGACCGAGCCAGGCAAGGACGGAAGCGAAGATGGGGGCCGGCAGCGTGGCGCGGGCTGCCAGAGGCAGAGACGGCCCCGGAAGGGTGGGCAGGAACCCGCCCGGCAAAGCCCCGGGGCCCGGACGGGACTGCAGCGAACAGGGCAGACGCAAAGGCCCACGAGAGTGCTGGACACTCCCAGGGCCCGGGGCCGGGATGGGACACGCAGAGCCTCTCCTGTTCCCCCAGCTGAGAACTCATGCGTCAAGTTCCTTACTCAGAGAACAAAATCAACGCCCACGGTGGAAACCGCGGCCGCGGCGGCCCCCGGCCGTCTGAGCAGCAGGGGAGGACAGGCAGGTACGCGAAAGGCCTCTCAAGGGCCGCGGGCCTCACGGCACTCGGGCACCACCACCGGGCCTCTCGCTCGTTCCGGCCGCACGGCTTCAACCCCACGCGGAACGCGCAGCCGCCGGGGCCCAGGGAGGCCGGTGCGCGACGCCCGGGCGGGTCCCACGCAGGCCCTGTCCAAGGGCCGCCGGGACGGAGCTCCGGGGAGCCGCCCGGCAGGGGCACGGGACGCGTCTGCCGGGTTCCGGCCGCCGTGGCACAGGCGCGCACACGGACATGCGGCGGCCACACCCCAGACCCCGCGGGCGCCGGCCCACCTCTCCTCCGCGCGCTGCCGCTCCTCCGCCTCCTTCTCCCGCCGCTTCTGCTCCTCCCGCTGCTGCTCCAGCTCCTGCAGCTTCTGCCTCTCCAGCTGCCGCTTCTTGATGGAGGCGTCGCTCAGGTGTTTGGTGGAGTCGAAGGAGACCTTCGGGGGAAACACGCGCCGAGTGAGGGGCCGCCGGCGCCGCGCGGCAGCTCGCAGGGGCGCGGCGCCCGCACGGGGACCTGCCGAGCGCTCCAGGCTCCGCGGGCTACGGGGCACCCGGCCCGCGGGACGCAGTCGGCCCGTTTCTGGCTGGGACTCACGGCCCTCGCCCCTCCCCCACCCCCCAACCCCGCCTGAGCTCCTGATGCGACCGGGGGGACGTGCCCGCCTGGGACACTGACGTGCCTTCACGCTCAGGAAAACACACAGAACGGCCCCTTGGACAGGACAACCTTTCCCTTTCTGCTCCGGGGGACCCCACCCCCGACCACGCCCAGGACCCAGCAGCCACAGGGCCCGGGCCCCCGCTAACCACATGCAAACTGTCTAACGCCACAAAACCCCGACTTCTCTGCGAGGCTGGCGGCCTTGTCGCCTCAAGGGAACACGTGACAGAGCCGTGACCGATAAAAGAAACGCGCCGCCCTCCTTCGGAAGGGCTTTCAGAGGCACCGCGTCGTCCAAGGCCACGCAGCCCAGAATCCCTTTCCGAGGGCCCCGCCTCAGCGACGTTCAAACGCAGGCCGTCCGCGTTTCCCTCAAGACACAGGCTCTGCGAGATCCCCAGAGGGGGCTCCGCGCCTGCGCCTGCCACGCGGCCCCCGCCCCCAGGGGCCCGAGCGCGGCCGCCGTGCGGCCCGGCCTCACCTTGATGTTGCAGGCCACGGCCTTGCCGTCCTCGCCCTTGTACATGAGCTTCATGCCGCGCAGGGCGCTCATGGCCTGGATGAAGCCCGCGTACTCGCAGTACTGCACGTACGCCTCGAAGTTCAGGTGGCCCCCGAAACTGAACGTGTGGAAGTTGCGCCCGGTCATCTCCTCGCGGTAGGGGTCCAGCATGGGGATGTCCACGTTCCGGATCTCCCCAAACTTCTCGAACACCTTCACCAGGACCTCCTCGCTGGGCTTCTCGGAGCCCGACTCCTTCAGCGCGAACCACTTGCAGGGCAGCCCCTCCAGGTGGATCGTGTCGGGGCGCTCCCCGGGCAGCGTCTCGTTCATGTCTTTGGCGTCGCGGAAGAAGGAGTCCCAGTCGTGGCGGGTGGGGAAGTCGATCTTGAACTCGGCGGCGCGCACCTTGAGGATGTCGGAGAAGCCGCTGAGCTTGATGGTCTTGCCGTCCAGGCAGGCCAGGAAGGCCTTGACCAGGCTCTTGTTCTCCACCTCGCCCTCGAAGCGGATGAAGTCCATGGTGCTCTTGGAGATGCGCAGCGTGGAGAACTGGTGGTTGTGCACCATGCCCTTCAGCCGCTCCATCACCTCCCAGTTGGAGATGGACTTCCCCGGCTGCTTCAGCTGCGGCAGGGCCACGCTGATGGTCATCTTGGTGATGGGCTTCAGGTAGAGCCCGTACAGGGGGCACAGGTCCACTGCCTCCGACGTGTCGTGCACGATGGTCGCCGATGCCATAGCCGGGACCTCGGGCCTGAAACAGACACGGCGGTCAGTGCGTGAGGCCACGGGAGGAGGCTCGAGGCCGCCTCCCTGCCCTCAGCCCCCGAGGCGGCTGTTGATTGTAAATCGTCGGGTTACACCGAAAACACAAAGAACTGCAAGGACAAAATCTAAGGACAGCTTGGCACCTGAGCCTCCGTCAGCGCTGCCCTGTGCCCAGGATCCGGGGCCAGCTTCCCACCGTCCGTGCAGCAGCAAGGACAGGCGGCGAGAGCCCGCTGAGATGCAGGCGACTCGCTGGGGAGGCGCACAGCTCAGCTCCCTGCATCTGGGTTGGGGGGGCGGGGGGGGGGGGTCTTGCCGGAGGCAGCCTGGTGTTTGCACAGATGACACAGAAGTCGCGTGCTGATAACACAGTCCCTCTCCTGGCCCCAGTGAAAGCTGGAAGGGCCAGGGAGCCTTTCGCCAGCTTGGGGCTGGGACTGACCTGCAGCCTCTTCCTCCCCCACCTTCTCTGGGGCAAGTCTCCCCTACTGGTCCGACAAGTCCTCCGGAAAGGCAGGCTCCAGCCAGGAGCTGACACCAGACACCCAGACGGCGCAGGTGGCCTGTCCAGCCACCTGCCCACCCGCTCGGCTCGCCCACCAGCCCAGCTGGGACAGTTCCCCAGGCACAAGCCCTGGGGCACAACCGGAGGGCAGAGCCCCAGAGCAGGGGGGCCTGAGCACCCCCAGGATGCGGGGCACCGGGCAACCCCCACCTGTCTCCCAGGCACGGCACGACCCCGCCCCGATTCCCTTTGACTGACCTTGGTTACCCGAGGCCACCCCAGTCGCGGGGGGTACACACCCAACACCTCCACCCTCCCGCCCACAGCTGCCTCGGCAGCAGCCCGCCTCCCCCAACGGCTCGCTGCCGTTTGGGTACCTCCGAAACCCCCCCAGGGCTCTTGGTACCCCGGCTTCCGCAGCCCCCTCCGGTCCTAGACTTTCAGGCACAGCTCCCCGCCCCCAAGCAGCGCCTGCCCAGTACCTTCGGTGTCCATGGCAACCCCCAGACCCAGGGCCCCCGCCCCGCGCCCGCGCGGAACGCAACCCACGGTCCCCGACCCCACGGTTATTTCCCTGCCCTCCAGGACCACCGAACCGCGGTCCCCGGACTCAGGCTGCCCGACCGCCCCGTTTCCCCAGCCCCCCAAAGCTGGACCCCCGGGCCGACAGTACTCCACGTTCCCCGAAGACCCCCGACCCCCGGCACCCGCAGCCCCGGGATCCGCGGGATCCCCCGGACCCCCAGAACCGCCCACGGCTCGCAGACCCCGACGGCCCGCAGGCCGCGGCCCCCTGTGAGTCCCCGCCCCTAGCCCCCCTTCCGGCGCCCCGCAGACCCCGGCCCCCGGCCCCGGCCGCTTCGCGGAGGAAGGCGGTCGCGGGCGCCGCTCACCGCCGCGGGGCTCCGCCTGCGTCCCCAGCCGCCGCCGCCCTGGTCCCAGCTCGCTGTGGTCCGCCGACCACCCCGGCAGCAGCGGCCTGTCGCCCGGAGCCGCCACCGTCCGCCGGAAGCGCCCCCGACCGAAGCGCCGCCGCTGACCGCGCTTGTGACGCACTTCCGCTTCCGGCGCTCGGGCCGGCGGAAGCGGCCGCGCGGCGGCTCCAGGGTTCTTCTCCGAACTTGGCCCCGCCCTCGAGGCGGGACTTCCGGGGGCTCGGGGTTGGGGCGGAGCGACCCGCGGCCCCGCACTGCGCGTGCGCGAGCTCGCCCCTCCCGTGAGCCGCACCTGCGGGCCGGAGCGAGCGGCCTTCCGCTTTAACTCGGGGCGGAACCCGGCCTGGCGTTTGCGCTTGAATTGTTGTGATAAGCGTCTACACCCGAGCAGGGCGAATTAATTACAATCTACTTATTATCCACTCATGCCTTCATTAGTTATTTCGGTTATTAGGCATCTTGATTAATTATACATGATGTCACTTAATTTTAAATTATGCATTATCTAATCAGGAGTTTATTGGTTAATTACTTTATTTAGTAGGCGTCTTGATTGCCTAGATTAGACGTTTCCCTCCAGGTCACATGATGTTCCTTCGTGATGTAAATATCTGATATGATACAAACATGGGCTATTTTCATATTCTAAATGGTTCATATTCTCACATTCTTTCTACTTATTTTTAAAAACATGAATCTAAAAATAAATAGATTACATTTTTTGTGTGATATTTAATATAATCTTATATATGGATATCGTGTACTTTTACATGATAATATATTTTTATACGATCACACTGTTGAGTGATAAATTAGCCAATTACAATTTATGAAGCTCTTCCATCATGCCAGAGCGCGCCACAGAATTGTGCTTCTGACGCCCCAAATTTGTCCCCCACCCGAAAGCGCACGGTTGGAAAACCGAAACAGGGACGCTCCGTTGTTCAACAGGGGGCGCCCCCGCGCTAGCACCAGAGGGGCGAGGGTGGGTATGCAGACCCCATTGTAAGTGGCCTTTTCAACCCCTGAAGGGGGCTCCTGGGTAACCCCTGAAGGAGGCGCCATGCGCCTCACGTGGTCCTGTGATCTTGACCTTGACCTTGATCTCCCCCAGGAAGAGCGAGCAGCCTTTGAACCCCCACAGGCCTCCCCGTGGGACCGGCGTCTTCGTTGTCCTCTACCCTCTTGTCCCTGGCAACACAAATGCTATTCCCTGGACAACGAAGTGTCCCTAAGACAGCCTTGCTCATGGATGGCGCTCTGTTTCCCTGGGCGCTGTTACGCTTGGAAGGCGCGCCCTCTAAAGGGTTTCCAAAGCAAAGGAAGAAATGAGCACTCTCTCCTTTGCCGCTTGGGAACCTGCAAGCCCAAGTCTCGGAATCATTTGTGAGACGTTGGAGGTAAAACGTGTTAAAGTTTTGAGAAGATGCCTCTCCTCCGGTGGAACAAGAAAGTTTCCCAGGGCAAGCGCCCTAATCCCGGGTCCTACTGTGATAGGCGCGTGGCTGGGCCAATCGCGACCCTCGGATTCGGGAGCCGGGGGTGGGGGGGGGCAGGTCCCGCCCAGGATTCCAAGGCAGAGGCCAAAATATTGTGCAGTTGTCACGCAGTCGCTCGTGGGTTGATGCCAGCGAAGCGCGTGGCTCTGGCTGGGCCGGGCCTCATCAGGGGCTGGGGCTCGCGCCCGGGGAAGGGAGGTGGGAAGCGGCGCAGAAGCAGCGGGGCCGCCTGGAGGAAACCGCCGCCTCGTACAGAAAATCCCCTTGAATCTCAACCCTAATCCTAACCTCAAGTCACATGCTCCACCCAATGCTAACCAGCAAGGGTCATAACCCTAATACTAACCTCAATATTTACGTGCGCTCAACCCTCAGCCCCACGCGAACCCTAAACCTAACACTCATTTTAACCTCAACCCAAATCGGAACTCTGGAGCTAACCCATCTGTCCAACCGTCCGTCCGTCCGTCCGTCCGCTCACCCGTCATCCATCCCTGTGTGTGTCCATTTATCCACCCACCTACCCATCCCTCCAAGTACCAACATACCACCTGTCCCTCCACCTGTGCCCTCCGCCGCCCTCCATCCACCCACTCCGTCACCGTACACCCACCCGTCGCTCCACTTTCTCCATCCACGCGGCTCCAATGCACGTCCCTCCTGAGCCGCTCGAACACAGCGGCTTTCCACCAGGGGGCGCGCCTGGCACCCTAATCCACCCGGGAGGGCCCTTGGAGCCCCGGCTTGCAGTCCGTGCAGCTACCGTCTCCCGTCAGCGAGGACCTCAGCCCAGGGGCTCCCCGTGAACGTCCCCCCATTTACGAAATCTGCTCTTGGCAGCGCGTTCTGCTATTAGCCACGTCTTTTTTAAGCATATTTTAGCGATGATGCTATTACAGGTCTCCCTTTCCCCCCCCCCGCCCCTTTCTCCCCCCTCCCCCCAGCAAGCTCCAGCTTTGATCACGTCCGCGGCTCGTGCATATAAGTTCTTTGACCTCTCCGTCTCCCATACTATTCCTAACCCCCCCTGTCTATTTCGTGCCTCCCGATGGTCCTTCCTAATCCCTGCACCTTCCCCCCCATTCTCTCTCCACCCCAATAACCCTCCATGGGGCCCTCACTTCCCTGATTCTGTTCCTGATCTAGCTGTCGGCTCAGTTTGTTTTTATTTCCTAGATTCCGTTGTCGGTAGCTGTGAATACGTTGCCATTGCAAGGTCACGGTTGGATCTTCTCTTTCTTAGATGAGTCTCTTTAGCATTTCATGTAACAAGGGCTTGGTGATGAGGAACCCCTATAGCTTCACCTTGTCTGGGACACATTTTACCTGCCCTTCCATTCTAAGCGATCGCTTTGCTGGATAAAGTCATCTCGGTCGTAAGTCCTTGCCTTTCAGCCCTTTGAATACTTCTGGCCAGTCCCTCCCGACCTGCAAAGCTTCTTTTGAGAAATCAGCTGACAAGTGTACGGAAACTCCTTTGTAGGGAACTCTCTGCTTTTCTCCTGCTGCTTTTAAGAGTCTCTCTTTGTCTTTAATCTTTGACGTTTTAATTACCCTGTGTCTTGGAGGGGTCCTCTTTCAGTCCAACTTGTTTGGGACTCTCCCTGCTTCCTGCACTTGTATGTCTATTTCCTTCACCAAATCAGGCGATTCTTTATGTATCCCGAAACTTTTCACGCAGCCGTGGCTGCCGAGTGCTGAGCAGCGTGGTAAAAAAGGAGAGTGTATGATGTGGTCTTTGACGTGGTCACACCGCACGCTGGGAACAGATCAGGAGCTACACTCTTATCTCGGCTGGTGCTGGGTGCGTTAACTAACCTGATTCCCAGTACCTCATTGGTCATGACCTAGTGCCACACTTACCATTTTCCCTGTGCGCATATTCTCTTTGATCCACCAGTTCCACTGCCAGTAACTCATTCTATAGGATGTTCCTCACAGGTGCGTAAAGGTATATGTGCAAGTTACAGTTCACATACATGTGTCTAGATATAATAAATATGTGCGGGGAGACAGTAGAATACAAAACTAGAAGCCACGTGAAGGGGGTTCGCTGACATCATTGCAGGCGTCTGGGAGGGACACAAGAATGACCCTAAAGTCCACGCTATGGCCACGAGGTGAGGTCGGTGACAGAAGCTCCAAGAAGGAAAAGCGAATGGGACAAGGGACAGTGCAGGGTGGTAGGGGGGCAGGTGGGTCCAGCTGGGCTGACATTGGCTTGGAGCTGCTGGCGCTTTGACAGAGATGTGCGGGAACGTCAGGAGCCTGCGGTGAGTCGAGAAGCAGAAAAAAATGGGTCAAGGGAGCCGTAATTCCAGGACAGAAAGTGAAGAAACGGGGCACAACCTATCGATCCATGCCTTTATTCCCCAACTCACCGATCCGTTTGTCCGGCCACCCACCAATTTATCTGTTTATCCCTGCGTGCATCTCTCCCTCCATTCAATTTTCCATCCCTACAATCATTTCCCCACCCACTCACCCACCCATCTTCCCATCCACCCACCCACCCATCTTCCCATCCACCCACCCACCCATCTTCCCATCCACCCACCCACCCATCTTCCCATCCATCCACCCATACACCCATCTTCCCATCCATCCATCCATCCACCCACCCACCCATCTTCCCATCCACCCGCCCACCCATCTTCCCATCCACCCACCCACCCATCTTCCCATCCACCCACCCACCCATCTTCCCATCCATCCACCCACCCACCCATCTTCCCATCCATCCACCCACCCACCCATCTTCCCATCCATCCACCCACCCACCCATCTTCCCATCCACCCATCCACCCACCCATCTTCCCATCCATCCACCCACCCACCCATCTTCCCATCCATCCACCCACCCACCCATCTTCCCATCCATCCATCCATCCACCCATCCACCCACCCATCTTCCCATCCATCCACCCACCCACCCATCTTCCCATCCACCCACCCACCCATCTTCCCATCCACCCGCATCCACCCATCTTCCCATCCATCCACCCACCCACCCATCTTCCCATCCATCCACCCACCCACCCATCTTCCCATCCATCCATCCATCCACCCACCCACCCATCTTCCCATCCATCCACCCACCCACCCATCTTCCCATCCATCCACCCACCCACCCATCTTCCCATCCATCCACCCACCCACCCATCTTCCCATCCATCCACCCACCCACCCATCTTCCCATCCATCCACCCACCCACCCATCTTCCCATCCATCCATCCATCCACCCATCCACCCACCCATCTTCCCATCCATCCACCCACCCACCCATCTTCCCATCCATCCACCCACCCACCCATCTTCCCATCCATCCATCCATCCACCCATCCACCCATCTTCCCATCCACCCACCCACCCATCTTCCCATCCATCCATCCATCCACCCACCCACCCATCTTCCCATCCACCCACCCACCCACCCATCTTCCCATCCACCCACCCACCCATCTTCCCATCCATCCATCCATCCATCCACCCACCCATCTTCCCATCCACCCACCCACCCATCTTCCCATCCACCCACCCACCCATCTTCC